TTTTATTGTTCCAAAAATTGAATTCCGTGATAACAGTTTAAAAAATTATCTCATCCTGTATGCAAGACGAAAAGAATAGGGGAGAGAATGAGTTCTCATTCATTTAGCAGGGTTGCGAAATGAACATTTTTTTTTGTCCTGGATCTCCCAGTTGTAGACCAGGATCAGTATCATAAGGCGATGAACAAGTAAAAAAATGAATAAAAAAATATATCATTCTTAGTGGTATTCGTTTTTTCGGTTCATCGCCTTGCCGAAAGGATCAGTTTGCCGTTTTTATGTGTTATACAACTTGATTGCCCTCCTCCCTCTCAAACTGGTGGCTTGACTGATCCCTCAAGACGCCGGTTCAGACTGATGAAACGCTTATGCTTGAGTTATCTAGTTTTACCAACTCTCGAGTTTTTATGCAACCGTGTAAACAGCCCAAATAAGGCATTTATTACACCGAGTCAGTTTTGGGGGGAGGATGATAATCGGGTACAAAAACTATATCAGTAAAACTGAGTAAAGGGGAGTATCGACCACCTACTCATATTATTTATTCCTTTTTTTCTCAGAACAACCGCGGAAGAAGAGCAGAGCGGGACGTTTGGGTCTTCGGTCTTGTGACAACTGAATACACTCCTTGTAGAGGGTATTTCAAAGTTGTCAAACGTAGAGATGCTGCAACTCTGCACCCTATAATAGAAAGGTGTATTCGTCCGGGCACTGAAATGCACACAGATGACTGGGGTGCGTACAGGAACCTGGACCGAAGGCTCAACAATGTTGCAACACATAGAGTTGTAAACCACTCGCGATATTTCGTCGATCCCCGCACCGGCGTTCACACGCAGGAAGCTGAATCGTGTTGGGCAACCCTAAAATTAAAGCAAGTCATGAAGAGAGGAATTAGAAGAAAGGACATGCAGTCCTATCTTGACGACAGGATGTGGCGGCAGTGGAGGGGTGGACCACGCCAACATATTATGAGGAACTTTTTGCATGTATTAGCGGGACAGTTTGATGACTTCACTGTGTTTTAAGTAATTGTTACTATGAACTCTCCCTAACGTCTTTTCAAAGACCTCACAACATTTTCACCTTTAAAAAAGGAAGGAAAAAAAATGTAAAAACGAGACTTTTCCCTCTCTCAACAATTCTTACAGTACCAAAAAAAATTATTATAATTTTGAAATATTCCTCCAGGCAAAGAGCTTGTTATTCACCAGTGCATGTGTAAAATGGCGTTCACGGCTACCCAAAGACGAAATAGCTTAAATTCTTTCTTAAACTAAACGGAAGAAAAGAAAGAAAGAATACGAAAAACATATTGCTCGATTGATGTTATCTATTTTTTGAGACGTATGTGCTTGAAAAAACCATGTATTTATTTTGACCATGAAACTGTTGTGTCATATAGGCCGGCCCCGTTTAGAAGGCAAAGTTTAGGAAAAAAAAATCTTTGAGGAGGTAGCCTTGTAAAGAACGGTAAAATATTTTGAATGTACAAAAAGAATTGTTGACTTCGGCTTTCGTATGATTTGAAGAATTATACAGATCGCGGAGGATGAAATTATTTACCAGGGTCTAGAGGCCGAGGTGGATCGGGATAACATTCTCCTAGTGTATAATTCTTCACATACTAATTTCTGTAGATGGGGCTCTGTTTTTTTTTTTGCGGGGAAGCACTAGTTTTTCTTTTAAGTTTTTTTGCAGGGGGGAGGCCAAAAGAAACTTTCTGCTAATGTAAATAAAGAGATGTAAAGAGATAATCCGTTTTCTAAAGATTATATCATAATCCGATGGTATTTGTGCTTAAGCTAGATGGTGTTTATCAGTTTGAAAAATTTAAGACTTCGGTAAACAAAAGTTATTGATATTTTAGCTTACTAGAAATGTTTTTAATTATCGTGACTTATAATTAATGTTGTTCTAATCTTCATCAGGGGTTTTTGGTGTTAAAGTAGCGTGTTCACGTATTTTACTTTACGGGAGTGCATCAGAACACGTCCAGTGCTTATCGTCTCAATTCCTGTGAAATAAGAAAGAAGTTGAAACATGCGAAAGTTGAAATGATGTCATAATTTCTACATGCCTAATTGCCCTGTCTAAAAATTTAGAGGTCAGGGCTGAGTTGCTCAAAGCATGGTTAGCTTTAACCATTGGTAAAGCAGTATCAAAACCAATACGTTGTCAAGGTATTAAACGCTGGTTAACGCTAACCATGCTGCGAGCAACTGGGCCCTGGTCTGAAAACGGGTGTGGAACTGAATGACATTTTTGGTCTGAAATAGGGTCAGGATTTGGAGAACCGTGCGGCACACCCCCACCAATAATTCTCAGGAGCACCCCCCCGAGATACCTGGGATGCGAGATTAAAACAGGAGCAGAAAGGCCAGGGAAAGTTTCAATAACGAGGGGGAGAGGCCTTTTTCTTTTTTATGGGGGCGGGATGCGAGAATCGAGGGAAAAGGAGCGGAGTAAGGGAAGTTTGGCGTGAGCACATGCATTTTTTTAAAAAAGGAATTAACAGGCCCACACGGCCTCCTAATTAGTGGTTTTGGTGAATGCTTGTGTTGCATTCATCAAAGCCTCCATTTTTTTTTCTTCTAACAAGCAAGTTTTTTGGGATTTATCTTTTGGTAAGAAGTGTGGAAACTATCACACACGCACGTTACTATCTTTACTGGATGTTTTGTAATTCAGGCAAAAAAAATTCAACGCCTTCCGTTATCGGTCGATAAAAACGACTTGATTGCGAACGATCATCTCAATCGATACCGACTATTGACTACACTGTGATAACTTTACCCGGAACTACACGCCAACAATTAAGTGGGTGTCTTCCGCGTTCTGCTCGACGGACGGACCAAGAAAAAACGAGAGACTACCCGTAGTCTATATTAAAAAAATACAAATTTTAAATCCTTCGAGTGGGGTTGGGATTTAGAAGTAAAGAAGGGCGGGCTAGGGGGATCATGAACCCAATTCCAATTCGAGTTCGCAAATTTCTCTCTGTTTCTTACTCATTTGGAATTGACACGTTCATATACTCCCGTAGTTCCCTCGAAACCTACCCGATAACAGACCAAAATGGGGAAATTGTATACCTGTTTGCAGACCAAAACAGGGCAAAAACCCTACCCGATGAGGCGGAACATACCTATATAATTTACATAAGTGAGTTCCCCCCCAGGGATTCCCTTAAATGGAGGATTTTTCACACGTGCAATTGACTAACAGAAACGTATTGTTTCGAAACTGAAAGCGATCTCATTGTCCTTGATCGTCCCCACACGGCACGCGTTCCTTCTTTTTCACGCTTAGATTTAGCAGAATTTTTCCCGATAACTGAACATGACAGAGTTCAACTGTAGGTTTACTGATTCCATAGACCAACGATTACAATGCAGTATTTGGTAAGTTGCACGTTGCGTGGAAATGAGTTGTGTATTCCAAGCACACAGAATAATGATCGATTTCTTTCCCATCCCACACAGTTTCAACGCCATGTTAAAGCCCGTCAGCTTGAGCTGTGGCCATTCTGGATGCCTGGTTTGCCTTCGACAGCTCACCAAATCCACAGCAAATCCGAAATGTCCTATGTGTCGGAGGGAATTTCAGGCATCGAGTATTGCTGTCAATATCGCCCTCGACCACATCACAAGCGAACTTGCTGTGGAGTGCCAAAGTCAAGGATGTGACTGGAAGGGCAAATATGCAAGGGCACAAGCGCACCAAAAACATTGCCCCAAGCTGCTTGTGAAATGTTCAAACGACGGATGCGCATTCCGCGAGGCTAGAGAGAAAATGCCGCGGCACGAAAAATCCTGCAACAAGAGGGAGATCCCCTGCAAAGATTGTGGTGATCTCATAGTGTGGGATTCGTCGCAGGAGCACGAGCAATTCCAATGCACAAACGCCACAAGACCGTGTCCCTTAGGCTGCGGGGAAATATTTCCCAGGTAACTATGCTATTAATTTTAGTGACTGGCAGGCTTTCAAAAGAAAAATGAACGGCATTTTCGAGAACGCGCGCGAGGTAGTGTGGAGGAGACCCTTTCCTCATTCTCGCGCGTCATTCGCGCTTTCCACGAGCCGAAATCCTCGTCCCCAGCTCCTTCCCTTTCGGCTAGAGCGAAAGTAGTCAGGAAGGCCTAAAAAGTGTCAGATGCTACTTAGTGTTTATTGAGTTAAAAGATTGAATAACATTTTTATTTTATTTCTGTCTCATCATCAAGATGATACATATATATATATAGATGCATACTGCACCAACACCAAGCGTTCCTTCACTTGTACTTGTAAGCCAGGATATACTGGGGATGGTGTTAACTGTGCAGGTAGCAAACCTGATAAGGAGCTTAAACTAACAGGATTTCATCTTTAGTTTTATGCTATTCCATACCATAAAGATTAGAGCCAATCAGAAAGCTGGAAACCGGTTTCATATTTGGTCAGTGGCATGTCTCAGATCGGTAGCTTCTTCGTATTGTGGACGGGTGCAATCACAAAATGACGTAATACAAAAGATTAAAAGGACACTATACAATATCTACACCACATAAAAATAGCTAACCGACAATAGTTTCCCCATCATCAAGAAACACCCCACAGGTCGTATCCATGAAAAATGTCTGGTGTCAGTTGCAGCCTCTAGATTCCCCGTAGACTGCGAACAGGCTCACATGTGCGATTTCGAGGGACATTTGGGCGTGCACATTTCCTAGCCCTATTATTGTCGCCGGCTTTGTCTGCTCGAGCCGCCAAAATTTTCCTTTTCGTGGGCTAAATTCTCCCAGCCAAAGCTTTCCAAGAGTGCAACATGTAAATTGGTTTATCATTTGTATTTTTTAGTTATTTGGCATTCAATCTAACTTTCTTTTTTGTTTTGTCCACTAAAAAAATTATCATTCTATAAAAATATGATATATATCTATCCTCATTGGATAGAATCAATACAAAAATCAAACAAAGCCCGTTGATAATTCAGCATTAACTCTTTCTTTGCAGAAATAAACGAGTGTGAAACTGGAAACCACCAATGTGACGCCGATAGTTCAGTGTGCGTTGACACTAAAGGATCTTACAAGTGTGTCTGCAGGAGTGGTTTTTCCAAAAGTGGACATGAACATAAATGTACAGGTAAATATACCATGCACCGAGCACTTCAAGATATGCTATTGAAATGTATACTTTAAAAATGTCTTCTTCTTTTCTCGGGTTTGCGTGGGGTGAATCAGGTTGAAATGATAAAAGCATCCTCAAAATGGGAACGTATGCGGCATATTATGTAGCCTACGAAAACATCCGTTTCTCCACGCTCTAGCTGGGGACGTTTCGCGCGGAGGAACGTCTGCGACTCAGCTACAGAAATTCCATAATGATGACGTAAAACATGTCCAGAATCCAGTCAGAAGCCCTGATTGGTCGACGGAGTAGTTACATTGTTTTAGCTATTGTTTACGAATGATAGACAAGCCAAAAAGGTCAAATGCAAACACGATGAATCTCTAACAAAACAGTCAATATTTGTGGAATATTGTCTTCTCTAGAACAAGCATTTGAGTTTTGCTGGAGCTCGTTCGCAGATGAACACAACACTTTACAAAATCGGCCAGGAGAAACTAAAATTGAATAAATTTACATTTGGAACCCCACGACTACCGGATTTATTAAGTAAACATTGATTTGCGTCATCGGTATGGAATTTCTATCGCTGAGTCGTAGACGTTCCTCTGCGCGAAACGTCCCCACCAGCGAAGAGCGAGAAGAAACGGATCTTTTCGCAAGCTACATATTATGATGCTTAACAGATCTACAATTTGATAATTGAGCATTAACTCTTAATTTGCAGACATAAACGAGTGTGAGACAGGAAAACACAACTGTAACGCCACCAGTTCATCGTGCAATAACACTAAAGGATCATTTAGGTGTGCTTGCATGGAAGGGTATTCCGAAAGTGTACCTGATCATAATTGTACAGGTAAATATACCACCGAGCACTNCGGATCTTTTCGCAAGCTACATATTATGATGCTTAACAGATCTACAATTTGATAATTGAGCATTAACTCTTAATTTGCAGACATAAACGAGTGTGAGACAGGAAAACACAACTGTAACGCCACCAGTTCATCGTGCAATAACACTAAAGGATCATTTAGGTGTGCTTGCATGGAAGGGTATTCCGAAAGTGTACCTGATCATAATTGTACAGGTAAATATACCACCGAGCACTTCGAGATATGTTTCCTGGATATGTTAATTGAAATGGATACTTAAAAATACCTTCTTCTTTTCAGGCTCGGATTTACGTGAATCAGGTTTAACAGAAATTGTGTAACTACGTCAAAAACTCTCGTTTTCTTTTCTTAGTTTCCCCTTTTTTTTTTCTTTTGCTTTGCTTCGAAAATTTTGGTTGGTAGAGATTGAATTAAAGAGATCGGAACTAACTACTTGAAGACCGCAAGATAGCGCGACGTACTCGCTCGAGGCCCATGCGCACTGTTCTTCATGAACTGGAATGAATGACGGAATGATATGCATTGTCGATGTTTTTTTTTACAGGTAGGATGATGTCAAGTTGCAAGGAAATTTATGATAAGTATTTGTGAGTACAGCATACGTGATTACTATGGTGTTAGCAACATTTTTTGTTCAGTACTTTTTTCGTCTCAATGTAACACACAACCTTTCTCATATCATAGTAAGTACCATGCAGTTTCTTCAGGTTCGGACTTTAGAAAAGGGCTTTCTTTGCGTACTGACAATGTAACCACATCCCCCCAAATTAATTGTTAGCTTCGTCATGTGGAGCTCTATGTCGGTTAGTGTTATCTGGAAAAGGTGACTCCAATGGTTTTTACTAGGAGCAAAACCTCCCAAGTTTGAGCTTTAATTACATATTGCGGACAAAGATCTCGGAAAAATGAAATCATGGCTTTAATAGGGAAATCTTGCTAGAACGAGTGTCAATACCAAATTTTAAAAGAAATTTATCGAACAGTTTCGAAGTTGTTATCGCGTTTATAGAAGTATGACACCACTTTTATCAAAAATTAAAGTTTGGAATAAATTACTGATAAATCTGAGAAAGGTCCAAGTAAAAAGGAATACGAAGAGCGTTAATTTGCTAATTAAACGAATTTCATAATTCTAATTAAATAGACTTTGAACTTGTGAGTAAGTAATCAAGGCAATAGAGTGATGAAAGATGTTGTATAATTCATTTTTACCGTTCATATTTCTTAATCATATAAATTATATGTTAATCAGTATTATTCTAAACTGTTTAAATCTGAGGGCCACAAGTTCATCCGTTTGACACTCTTGCTGTCACTTGTTACCTTCTTAAGTAAATCCAGTTGTCATCTTATCTTACTGTGCAATAAACAATCAAGAAGGCAACACCATTCAGGCTGTGATACATTTCGCCATGTCACCTAGTGCCATAAAATGGAACTGTAGCAGCAAAGGTTTCCAAATTTTTTTGTAGATATTATTTAAGTGTTTCAAAGTCATAATAAGACAAGATGTTCTTCACTTCAACCTTTTTCAGGGGCCACAAGTGCAAATTTCCATCACTTTGGCTAGTATTGTGTTTGAAGTTGTCTGTCTATTAGTTTTCAATAAAGTGTGTCTCATCGTCACATCCTAAAGAAAGGGTTTGTCCGAAATGTATTGGTAGCTTTCTACCTTTCTACACGCATGATCTATCGACATAGGATGATGAATGCGCGTACAACAGTAGTACCATGAATAATGGTGTACACCTACAAGCATTAATTGAAAAGAGCCTGCACCTAAGAATCATCCAATATAAATACCCGGAGCATGAGCGACATTCGATGGGCTGCTGCTTACTTTAAAACAATACACATTCGATGAGCAAAAAAACCCCGTTGAGTGGCAGAATTATCAAAGTCAGGAAGAAATTTAACATTGTTTGGCAATCACATTATTTCTCAAGGTACAAGATTCCATGGCCTCAGGAACTGCAAAATGATAAGCTTGTTTAAAAAGAATGCAAAGAACGAAAAAATATTTACCAGGCTCGGTAGATTTTGTATTGTGTGAATGAAACCGACGGTATGTCAGGTACACAACAGAGTAAATTCGCATTTAATTCCACTGCACGCCCGTTATTTTTAAACTTCAATCAATTTATTTGCCCTTTTTAACATAGTACAATAATTACACAGTCTTATAATTAAAATATACTTGGGCAGGAACTCTCAGCAAACCCTGTAGGGCTTTTCGAGGAGAGCCGCTGGACAAGTTTTATACAAGTATGATGTAAATTTAAAATTACATGTCTGTGTTATAGATTACATGTATAAAGTATAGAGCGACTACTCACATTTTTTATTATATGTTTGATCAAGAATCTTGTCTTCTTGAAATGTTTGCGTTAGAATTATGTTATCAAAAGCTCTCAGAGCCCTTTTTATTCACTGCCACAGTAATCTGGCTTATAAAATCTGTACATGATAATTCGCGATACCGGATCGCGCACCATTACAGCAGCCGCAAGCGAGAGATGTATTCCATGTAGAGCATAGCATAGTTTTAACTTTAAAAATAACTGTGGGTCAATGCAGTGTGCTCCTTTGTGGACGTAGGGAAAAGCTCCAAAGCATTATAGAAGCGAGTTAACCACTAAAATAAGGTACTAAAGATCGAGCTTGATTTTCAATATTTACTTAAACACCGGTTGTCCAGAGCCAGGAACTCTGCTCTGCTCTGATTGGATATTACTAAGAAGGCGTGAAAAATATTCCTCGAAAGCTCTTTCTATAAATAAATTTTCATGGGAAAGGGTTGACTCCATTTCCATTTCTCCTCGGCCTAGCACGCCTTCCTTGGTCGCAGTCCAGGTTTGCTCACTATTGAGAGGCGTTAGTATGCGGAACTGGAACACTGGTGGATTGAGCCTTTCCCGGCCAAAACAAGAACAGCAAAATTCTGTTTGGCAGTATTTAATATCTGGCTGAAAGTCAAATGCATATCTCCGACTGGTTACAGAGACTTGACCATTTTCTCACTGAACTCGTTGCTTCATGGCATGGGATGCTGAATTTGGCGATGTTAACATCGATATGATCAAACAACAAACATCTGATGTCAAGCGGTACACTGAAATGCCCTCGAATCACTGAACCTGAAGCAAGTCGTCACCAAAGCAACAACAACTACGAAGTCCAGTCAAACTCTCGTTGATGACGTTATTACAAATCTCCTAAACGCGTTTCACATACTGATGTTCCCTCATTTCCCCACTCATTAGCGATCACGACACGTCATATGTTTTTTTTTAATCAATGTTTATCCAGGGGCATCCACTTTAGCAGAGCTAGTGAAATGGAGCCCTGACACAACACAAAAACAAAGACATTAAAACTAGACAATAAATTAAGTTACAAAGGCAACATGTACTGCAGGCGTAACTGTTTAAAATGGCGCTTTAGCTTGATTTTAAATTCTCTGAGAGTCTCTACTTGTCTAATGATTCTCGGTAGGGTGTTGTAGGTCCGAGCACCGGTTATTCTGAAGCTACCTTGGTATTTAGTATTTTTTGCGAAGGAAGGGCGCAGCAAATAACGGCTTCCGGTGTTATCGCCACGGAAAAGGTGCGCGTGCCTAAACTCTGCACCAGGGCGGAAAAACCTTACAACTAACCTCAATAAATTTTGTTTACATGCGGTTGCCGGATTTGCGACGCATTGCGCGAATCGCCATGGCGCGTTGCACCCGAGACGCAAAGTTTGAAGCAGCACAACGCCGCTATATCAAAATATATCAATCTAATATTTTGTCATGTTTATTTAAAATTTATCCCCCTTTAACATATGTAAAAATTGAGGTTAAGAAGTGTTAAGCTTTTGCAAACGAAACGGCGAAAGACGATTAGGTGATATTTAGTGGAAGGAGGAGGTATTCAACACTTTCAAATTAAACTCAAATTTTGGCATTATACAACCAACAAGTTTGACTTATAGGCATACAGACACAAACATATGAAACTGTTTATTGATATTGTTATGAAACGAATTTATCTATTTAACATTGTAGCCTGAAATTAAAGAAAGAAAATAGGATTTCCGGTTTGCAAAAAGGAAAATTTCGCCGGCCTTCAAGCGCACCGGAAGCGCGGAAAGAGCGCTCTTGCCAGTCCTGCTCCGCATCACACATTAAATGAAGAGCGGAGCGCTCGTTTCACTGCTCAACATTTATCCGCCCTGCTCTGCAAGTAAGTACGAAGCCGCTATTCCGTGAAGACACTTATGGACTAAGACGTATTTGAGATAATTTCTGCGAGCTTGTAGGCTGGGCCAGCCAAGTATTGATTTTTACTCCTCAGCTCCTATAGACCGACCTTCAATAATACATGAGACATAATACGAGCGATTTCTTACCGAACTAGCTCAAAAACTATCCGATAAGAAGCAGATGGATGATAGCATTGTGATTCTTTGGTTGAGAGCAAAACTATGTGGATGTTTACCGGTTTCTGGGTAATCGGGCCCGATTTTTTTCAGTCGGACCCGAATATTAACTCGAACCTGATTTCGTTTAATCGAGTACGATAACAAATCAGGTCCGTTTTCTAGTCCGGTCCGATATATTTCGGATCGGATCCCAAAACTAATCGGGCTTGAATTCTTGTTAAATCGGGCCCGATAAAGTAATCGGACTCGATTTAAATTAATCGGGCCCGAATTGTCTTAAATCGGGCCCGATTTCTGAATGTTTTAACCTATTGAGATCAGCAGTTTTATGTGTAAGAGGCTCCAGAACAATTAAACGTGGCAGAAATCGCAAATGTGATTGGAAAGATAAAGTAGACACGTTTCAAGTATTGTTTTGAACATTTTTCTCTCTCTTTTTTTTTACCCTAGCCTAAGGCTTTTTATTTTAGATACATTTTTATCAATGATTTTGTGATGACTTTTATCTTATGCTTGTATACTGTAATCTTTTATTGGATGTTTTTTTAATAAAGCTATATTTCCTTCATAATACATGCGGCGCGTCTATTTAGCTTCTGGGTAAGTTTTGTTCCCAACCCCACAGCTGTCCCAGACAGGCGAACAGCAATCGAACAATGGCAAAACTATAGTAATGTAGAGCATTTGACAAGTTGGCTTGGAAAGAACCTTACGCGTTCGACGCAGAATACCTAATCTAGACGAGATCTTATTACCGATATATTCTATGTGGTCCTTCTAAGATAAGGTGTTGTCTAGGAGGACCCCAAGATATTTAAACTTGTTAACTCTTTCTAAACTCGTGTTACTGATTTCTATAACTAGATCGACAGCCTCCACGGTCCTCTGATGGGTACCTACAAGCATAATTTTCGTTTTTTCAAGATTAAGTATTAGAAAATTAGCTTGAAGCCAGCTTAGGACATCAGTTAGGCCACTAGTTAACTGAGCTTGAATTTCACTGACTGACTTGCTTGCAAAATAGACAAGTGTATCGTCAGCATAAATCTCGACGCTACAACCATGAACCGCCAGAGGTAAGTCATCAGAGTCATTTATGTAGATGATACATAATAAAGGGCCAAGTACGCTACCCTGGGGGACCCCCGAAAGATATAGGCTGGGGCTCAGACACGACCCCATTAGTGCAAACACTTTGGGTGCGCATGGTTAAGTAGGATCTAAACCATTGGACAGCAGAGCGATTCATTCCTAGTGAAGTTAACTTATCTAACATGATCCTATGATCTAGGGTGTCAAAGGCCTTACTTAGGTCTAAAAATAAAAGGCCAGTTAATAGTCCTTTGTCAATCATGATGTTTTCCAGCAGTGTTTGTCACGTGTAATGGACAGTCAATGCGTTTGTCATCCGTTTCACTCCAAGATACAAGGTTATTAGGTACGAAAAACAGTTCAGGGACTATTTCACTCAACTTCATTTGAGGTCGTTTATGCTTTAATTAGAGGATCCTAACGAACAGGTAATCGCGTTCAATACTCTTATTTCGGACTTTTTAGAGTGACATGCACCCTTAGAGCGTGTGAGGGTGACAAGACAACCTGCGCTCTGGTTGAATGATCCGAACATTCGAACGCTGCCGGAGGCATGCAAACGTTATCGTAGGGAAGCGCACGCACCCCCTCACAGTGAGGCTGCGTGGGACATCTTCAAAGACGCCCGTAACAGTCTTAAGAAACTGATTGGGAGAGCAAAGAGAAGGTTTATGACCAATGCACTCTCGTATAAGCGGCCCATCGAAGTATGGAATGCATCACACTTTTTTTGTACATTTGTCTCCCGTTTTTGCACGACTACGACGTGAAAATGCATGCCTTATTTCGCTTTTTGAGGAGGACGTAAACAAGCAACGACGAAATTTTATTTCTCTTTCTGAGCTTAGATCAAGGTCACTCGAAATTCAGCTTCAGGAGGATTTGCCTACATTTTACAAAGTAAGTGGGTAGGAATAGTCGCTATAAAGACTGAGAGAACGCAAATTCACTTTTTAAGAGACGTTCTCGTTGTCGTCGCATCGTTGGATCTTAAAGTCCCTAGTGGCAGTTGATAAGGAGGAGCTGCATAGGCGTGTAAATGCGCTTGCGCAGTACCCTGATACTTCCTTTCGTCTGAAGAGTGTTACCTATTTGAAGTTATTCGGTAGATCAAAGCGCTGCGGTCCGACTGCTCTACTGGTCCGGATAACATCCAACCCAATTCATCAAGCTAGTCCCAGACCATTTAGCATCGCCTTTAACGCATATCTTAACAAAATCCAACAAAATGCAAGGAGATTATTTTCCGTAAGAAAGGTTTCAGTCAGGACATCGCGCTAGTTAGTAACATACCGCAGTGCGCAGAGTTATCCATATTAGGTGTTACTTTCCAACAAAATTGTAAATACAGTAGTCATGTGCGTGCGAAGGTAATTAAGGCGAACAAGTCATTATTCGTATTAGGATCTTTACGTAAGGAAGGAATGTCCCAGGAGGAAGTAGATCACCTTTTTAACGCAATAGTTTTACCAAATTTTTCTTACGCTTTGCCTGTTTATGGTGCCTCAGATTCCGACCTTTCTGTAATACAGAATTTTTTAGACCGGTGTATGAAAAGAAAGTTTATGTCCAAGAATGTAAATATCAGGGATTTGCTAGAGAAGGCGGACAAGACACTCTACAAAAAAAGATCGAATGACCCCGAATGCCCGTTCTTCCAGTTTTTACCTAAGGAAAAGAACATGAGGTACAATCTTAGAAATACGTCAGTCTCTGTCCCTAGAATCTACACTGACAGGTTTAAGAACGTTTTTAGTAACAGAATAATTTTTAGATATGATATGTAAATAGTTTTTTGAGTTTATATTGTAACTTAGGATATGTGATTTTATCTTAAGAAATAAAGATTATTATTATTATTATTATTATTATTATTATTATTATTATTATTATTATTATTATCTTAAACACGTGCATTTCGAAACTGGACTTTCCAACTCTTTGGAAGGTTGCGCGCATTAGTCCATTCCGAAGGTGGGCGAACCCCAGGGAAATGACGATTTTCGCCCTGTTTTCATTTTGCCTGTGTTATCAAAGGTTTATGAAAGACTGTCTTGAAGACAAATGGTGGATTTTCTCACGGAAACTGCTGCGCTTCAGCCAAATGTAAGTGCATACCGCAAAGCCACTCAACTACAACTACTTTGCTTGCAATAAGAGATGATATCCTTAAGGTAAGAGTAAGAGTAAGAAGTTTATTGTACACTCGCCTGCGGGGCTTTTCAGTGATACAAGACAAATATAATTCATTATCAAGTATATACAAAAAAATATCTACCTAAAAAGAAAATAAAATTACTTGAGTTTCCCTTTTTAAAATTCCTATGATACAATAAAAGGTTAAAACCTACAAAACGCTCGCGGGATCAAGAAATTTATGTAACAATATTTGCCTCAGTTTAAAAATCTCTATGATTCTTACTTAATTTGAGGTCTTTATCTAGGCTGTTCCACAAACTGACAACTCTGTACTGGAATGATCGCTCACCAGCAGCTGTTTTAAATAAAGGGATATTTAATTGTTGTGAATTGCGTGTCACGCGCCAAAAACTTGGCCTCTGGTAACTACCTTGGATGTGAGGTAATCTGGGACACAGCCCGTCATACATATAAACGCAAAAACAGCGTCCCTTAAATATAATTGCTGTCCTACAGGTAACCAGCACAAATCCCAGAGAACTGGAGAGATATGATCGAATTTTCTCGCTCCACTAATTATCCGGGCGGCAAAGTTCTGTACGTGTTGCAATTTACGTATATTTCTGTCAGAAGTGTTAGACCAGACCGCCGAGCAGTAAAATAATTTACAAAAACAAGGGCGTTAATTAAAATCGCTAGAAAGTCTAAATTAAAAGCGTGTTTTGAGCGGTTTGTCTGGGGTAGCTTAGAAATACATGAGGCAGTGAGAACTGAGATATGGCAATCAAATGTCAGGGTAGGATCAAATATCACACCTAAGTCCTTAATGGAGTCTGTAGGTAATGAACAGAGGTGAGGTCACCATTGCAATTATTGCAGACTTGTCTAAAGCTTTTGATACAGTTGTGTATGAGAAATTTCTGTGCAAATTGCATAAGCTAGGGTTTTCCAAGTCCTCTCTACATTAGATTGTGAGTTATTTGACTGATCGAACGCAGTACGTCCAAATCAGTGATCGCTCGTTGGAACGCTTAAATGTGTCTTTTGGGGTACCTGATCAGGGATTCATTTTGCGTCCCCTCTTATTGACGTACTGACGTACTCCCAACCGAGGTAAATTGCCATCAATATGCGAGCGATAGAACGATTTATAGTCACTCTAAACCATCTGAGCCTCAGAGTTGTCAGGCGGAGATGCAGGCTGCGCTGGACAAGCTGTATACCTGGTCATCCCGATGTAACTTGGCTCTCCATCCTAAAAAGACTAAAGTGATGCTTCTTTCAACTCCCCAGATGTCAAGAACTCATGGGCTAGACGGACACTCCATCCATCTCTTATGGAAAGGGTCTCGAGCGAGTTTCAACTTTCCGCCTACTTGGTACGGAAGTGCACGAAAACGTCAACTGGAAAAGAGAGAGACTGACTGCAAGATCTCAAGTTGTTACGGAACTTTGTCTGTACTGAAGAAGCTGAAATACCTTGCCCCGTATAATGTCAGAAAACACTTGGCAGAGTGTCTTATTTTGTCAAAGATCGATTATAATGACATTGTCAGTGATATTATAGCAGATTATCTTGTTAAGAGACTTCAGCGAGTACAGTTAGCGGCTGCTAAGCTGTTTACCTGGTCATCCCGATGTAACTTGACGCTCAACCCTAAAACGACGAAAGTATGATGCTTCTTTCAACTCCCCAGATGTCACGAATTCATGGACTAGACGGACACTCCATCAATTTGCTAGTTTTGTTTTAGGACACTACGCAACCAAGCTTCATTTCCTTTATTAAATACGTTCATACACTCCCGTAGTCCCCTCGAAAACCATACCCGATTCCAGACTAAAATGGGCAAAGTCTATAACCGTTTTCAGACCAAAACGGCCTTTGGGGCGTCACAGTCTATATGGGTTATATAAGGGAGTACCCCCCGCGGATAACTGTGGGCCCATGTGGGTTAGTGTTGTCTAATTCTAAAGTGGATAAGGTGACTCCGCTGTTTTTTATTAAAACAATAGATAAGGGCTGCAGAGTTGCTAGCCAGGACTTGAAATGCGGTGCTCTTCCGATTAAATTGTATTTATTCGCGAGAGCGCTTTTCATTTTTTTTTTCGAGGGCGGCGCTCTTTCAAGCAACTATGGTTTTCATTTCATATGACGGCCTTATTACTCTTGTGGTTCATCTGCATTACATCTGAAAACTTTTACATTTACTGTCAATTATCACTTTGCTGGCTTCAACGGCCTAACTATCCTTTCTACTGCTGCTAAAATTCAAACTACAAAACTATCGATCCTACGGAGATTTTACTTTTACGATGTATTAGAGCAGCTGAAAACTAATTTTCATAAAAATTTTCGCTTCAAAAGGGTTCTTGGTTTTGTGATAGAGTACGCTTGAATTTCTAAGCTTTTGCGTGACGCGGCATTTACATGACAGCCAAGAGAGCTGTCATTGTAGGTGAAAAAAATGACTTATTTCAGGAAATTTTGCCATCTAATATTTCATGTATTAGAAAAAGTATTACTTTAATGTTTATGAGTTCCTCGAAGAATAAATTCACGCTTTTGTAGCAAAACTCGGTAACAGATGTTTCTGTTGGTTTCCGTCCGCCATGTTGGTGCTCATCCGGATGGGCACCAGTATGGCGTCTCCATACAAATCAGTCTATAAATTTGGGTAAAACATTTCTTCCGATATCTCGTATATTAAATATTCCGGCTCTGACCTGAATCTTGGCAAGGGTCTTTGCATATTTACCTCCTTTCATTTCCCAGATTCTGGATTTTATCTTTTGAACGGTTTTCATTTTTTTAAATCTGTTTTGAATGACGTCACATTGAAAACCCGCAATATGAGGACGGTCACTTACTAAAACATGCAGAGAAAACAAATCTTGCTTGATTTCATGCAGTGCCTCAAAAATATATCATTATATAAATATATATTTACTAGGAAGCGTGAAAACAAAGCCTACTTACTGAATGTGGAGTCTAAACGAATTCCTGTGTACTGTCAAATGGAAGCTGCTGAGCTTGGAGAATGCGGAGGAGGTGGATGGACGCTCGTCATGAAGATCGATGGCGAAAAGGTAGCAGCAGCGATGGAATAATTTTTGCCCCCTCGGGGATTTCGCCCAGAAGGCGAAATCCCGAGGAGGCACTCTAGTAACTAGCGCGTATATTAAGTAAAGTACTTACGGTTGGAATATACAGTCAGTGTGTCAGAAAAAATCTCGACTTGCTTGAACAGGGGCAGCGAGGAATCGGTAGGTAATGATGACGTTTCTATTGTTTGCGCCCGCAAGTACGAAATGGTTAGGATGACGTAAAGACAGAAAATCGTGAGGGGACCGGTTAGGTAGATTTTGTAACATTTCAATTGTGCAGTCATACTTCGATACTCTTTTGCGTTACGGGTTATCAGTGACATTCTGTGGAGCAGTTGTTTTGAAAGTTATGGACCAAAAGACACTCGTTAAGCGCAGATGAAGTTCTAAGGTGCGTATAACTGTGTATATATATGAAGAGTTTGCCAGACACGAGTTCACAATTTTTTGATTGGAAACCTTGCCAGACACTCTTTCTCTCTCTTTGACCGGAATAAGACTCAGCCCCAAACAAGCAAGACGAGTGAACAACGGCTAGCTTATCACTAGCAGAACGATGGACGATTACAGAAATTCGCCGACAATCAAATTCTGTGCTGACTTATTCCCTGCTCACAGATGTCCTTCCGTTATAAAGTTTAAAATAAGACTAGAATGTACTAGCGTGAATTGTTCAAACGCCCTTTAATTGTTGAAGGCTCACTTTCCGGCAAATAAAATGAACTGAATGTAAAAAGTGAAAGAGAAATAGCGAAAAATTCAACTTCTAATTAAATCTTTTCCTATGGTTTAGAATGAACTATTCTCGAAACTGAGAATGTTTTGATCAAAGCTGTGTAAATCGAACTGAAACTGTGCATGGAACCTTGCGTTCCCTGTATTTATCTCACCTATTGTATGGAGTGGAGGGGGACAGGGGGGCGGGAGCCCGGGAGAACAGGGGGCGGGAGGGGTACGGGAGACGGGAGAAGAAAGGGCGGGAAGCGGGATCTCTATGATGGCGGGAAGCGGGAGAGAAATTCCAAAAGGCAAGCTTTCGTTAATTGTTACTGCTCATCATCCAGTCAAAAAAACGAACCCAACAACGTTTCTTGACTTCCATCAAGAGACTATAAAGGGGACAGAGAGGGCATCCCTCATATACACCCTATTCCATAGGTAATTCGTCTCGAGTTATTTTTAGAATCGGGATAAAGTTACCTCGCGCGAGGCGTGGATGTTTCGTGGAGGTTTCGCATGACCAAACGCACGTGCAAAACATGTCGGGCGAGAGGCAATGAAAGCGTAAAAAGATCGAGAGCATTCCTGAATATTGAAGCGAAATGAGTCGGCGCTCACATGGGAAAACGGAATCGCTGGACTCTTTGACAACCCGTGAAATCAGTTTAACTCGAAGTTGTTGTAACCTCAGTGCTTTAATAAAATGAGAAATTTCGCCGGTCTATTGAAACCGGTCGTTTGTACAATTCAGGGAGTTTAAGATCCAACGACGCGGACGACAACTAGAACGTCAAAAAAAACAATAGGTTTAATTAGCAAAACAACAACTTCGCACGTGCAACACACTTTTTTTGTTAATTTCTTTCCCGTTTTTGCACGACTACGACGTGAAAATGCCTAATTTCGCGTTTTATGGAGGACGTAAATAAGCAACGACGAAATTTTATTTCTCTTTCTGAGCTTGAATATGGTCCCTTGAAATTCAGCTTTAGGAGGGTTCGCCTACAATTGACAAAGTAAGTGGGTAGGAATAATCGCTATAAAGACTGAAAAAAATAAACATCAAACCAGAAATTGCTCTCTTCAAACTGTAAATTATAAATGATCCTGAGAGAATATTCAGTGTGTTAAGGATTTCCCTGCTCTACTGTTAGCTCTATACAAGAGAGGAAGGGCGATTCTTTTTTAATTTCGGTTTCGCTGACACAGCTTTCGCAGAAATCTCGCTGTAGTCGTTTTCGTCGACAAAAGGAATAGCAAAATCGCTCTCCGCGTCTTCCCCCATTTTGTTCTGCGTCATTTCGTGAAGAACGCGTGGCTCTCAGCGTGGGTCAACCACGCGGAACACATTCGCGCTATGTGATTGGCTGTTGTGTAAATTCGCACTTGGGATAGAAAAAAGAGCATTTTCCGCTGAAATTGGAAACCTTTCCAAGTCGGTTACATCATAGGTCACGAGTCCTCATGAATGAGGTGGCGTGACACATGTACACATGTGTCGACTGTGTAAGTCATGTCAGTGTCTCGTCTGTTTGACCTCTCTCGCAGGTAAAATGTCGTCAAAGACCATTTTAATCGGTCTAAGTATTTTTCGGTGTGGTGTGGAAAAATCCGTACATGGAAGACCTTCCTGGGAGCTCGCTCCGTACGATTGTAGTTTGCAAAACACTAAAGATTTTACGGCGTGGTGCAAACTTGTGTCATTTAACTTGTAATAAGCCAATAAGAGCAGAGCATTCGTTTCTTCAAATACTTCTTGTTAAAATCGGACATAGATGCATCATTCCGATGTAAAAATGTATGTATAACCGTTAAACCTCCCCGCCGATGTTTGATGAAAGATACAACTTCTCGAGCAAATATGAATAGGTTTGAGATTTGATAACCAGCAAACAATAATACTCCACCAGCACTTGACTGAACGCTTTAAAATGCAAACGGTTAACGAACATGCAATTATTGTCTCGTTGAAGTCAGTTTTTATAGCTTACGACTACTTACGAAAAATAACGAAAACTAACCGCGGTAGATATGCAATTAGTACAATAAGACGCTATGAACTAGACAGGAGTACTGAACTCTACCGTAACGTTTGGCCCTTCGACTTCATTTTGGCATGATACCCGTAATTTCGGGATTCCTAAATGCATGTTAATGCATCTTTGATAACTGCAATAGCTATTACACTGCACAGTGGACTGAGACTATTGTCGCTGTACTGGGATGTCAGAAGCGGTGGTCAAACCTAACCAGGTTATTGAAAACTCAGTTTAACTAAGAAAACTGACTTGTAACAATTTTCATCTTTGGCAAATTACCCTACAGCTTTAACACTAAACCCGGGCTTCTGATCTTTTTAATTTACGTGATGATGGGAAAAATACAATAAAGGGCGGGAGTCGGGAGACAAAGGAATAAAAAAGTACGGGAGGCGTGAGAACGGGGTACGGGAAGCGGGAGGTTGTCACCCCCCTGTCCCCGCCCCCCCCCTCCCCACTATGGAATATGTGTGAAAATCTTCATTATGAATCGGTATATTTCAAAGAGCTACACAACGAGCAAGAATACCATTGACCAACAATGTACAGAACGGAGCTAGCTGCAGTGTCAACTATTACTATTAGTAGTATTCATTGATAATTTATCGCCCGCGTTCATGATTGGCTCCAATCCCTCGACTCTTCTTCATAACCATCCGTCGTTTACCATATTTGGAAGATGTAGGACTGAATATACATGATCGATGCTATGGTATATTTAACAATTATTCCTCGAGCCCGAACGGGCTCTGAGTCAATAGCCCATGAGGCCGAAGGCCGAATGGGCTATTAACTCAGAGGCCTTGAGGCCGAGAGGAATAATTGTTTTAGTAAAAGCCAACTAGTTGGTCAAAAATATCGAGAATAAGACAATTTTAGCTAGTTAAAGCTAGACGTTAATCCTTTTTTGCCGCCAAAAAGCGCGCGCTTTTCGCTTCTAGTAGGCCATAACATATAACCTAGTAGCAGCTCAACCAATCAGAACGCAGCATTGATAATAGACCACTAGTTGGATTTTACTAATGCCTGTTATTAAAAACTGACTCATTGGATAATTTAATTCTAGTGCTCTGATTGGCTTAGCCATCATGGTATATGAGCCATTATACCATGCTCTCCAAATATGGTAACTGTACGCGTCTGCTCAAAATTAAAAACAACTAAGCTACAAATCGGTTGTTTTTACAAATAAAGTTGGGAAGAATTCTCGATACTTTTTTGTGGGCGTTTTTGATAAAACAATTATTCTACTCGCCCTTGTTGGATATGAGATGATTACAGCCATCTCGGCGCTACGCACCTCGTTGGCTAAACTACCATTTCATATCCAACGCGCACTCGTGGAATAATTGTTAAATGACCCATCGATCAACTTCCAGCAGTTCCCTTTAAACTATTTTTTGCTAAAATTGCGACCGAGAATTGCTAGCAAATCAGTTTTGCGACAGACTGCAATCCTGGACGTAAGTGAACAGCGGAGCTGGTTTTAGGAAAGTAACTAAACAGCTTTTAAACAATTAGCTGAAAGGAAGCGAACATACCGTCAGCTTTTGGCTGGGGGTACAGGTATTGGAAATTGCCAATCAATACTGGACCGCACAGTATGGGAGTCTTTTGTGTAAACCATTCCGACTCATGTTTGAAATTAGTTGTTAGGTAAATGTTAAGCTTTGGTATGAATGGGGCAAAGGGCGTGATTTCAATCCAGTGCAATCCTTGGGGAAAGTTTTTTTAATAGCGCACGAACAAAACGTTTATTTCCTGAAAGGTTGATAGTTTCAGATGAATTGTTAGTTTTTCAATGATGGAGCAGAAGTTTTGTACAGAAATTGATTTCATTTAATTTTTACCCTTCTTGGCATATTTCCTACCATAATAATGTTGCGCAAAAGTGGGTGATCCCAGATAGCCCGTGAGGAGAATCTTGTGTGCCGCTCGCAAAAATGTTACCGCGAAGGTTTCTTACAAGAATAGGGCTTTACTGACAAACCATGAGGCTAATTTGGCTCGATTTTGGCTGAGTTCCTTTTTATTTGCGTTTTTATGAACCGAGACCGAGTTGAGGTCCATAAAAACGCGAAAAAGAACCAGCCCAGTATCCATTCCTCTTGACCGAAGATTTGGTAAATCAAGGATTTATTACATGGCCAAAAAGGAAATTGTTTCTCGCACAGACTACAGGATTCGCTTCATCTTGACGGGGCGTAAAACGGCCAGTCATATAATGTAGCCTCTTCACACTGGCTCACTAGTACTTCGAGATGGCAGCCATTGACCATCATCACAGCGAAATGTTTAGAGGAATCTCGCCATGTCATGTCATTTACCTGGCTGGGGTATTTATTACATTATTTTAATTCTTACCAGGCGTTTGATTGTCTTAGCCTAGATATTCTCAAAACTACTTGGGGAGGGGGAGGAGGTTGGATGTAGTTGACCCCCAGGGCCCAGAAGGCCAAATTGGATAGTCTTACAAACTTTTGGAGCAGAATGTGACTGCTGTGATGTCATGTGAAAACAGTTTGTTAATTGACGATATATCATTCTTTATCTGTTTAGATTACCTTTAAGTACGATTCAAAATTGTGGACCAACAAGACGGACCATAATCCCTCTGCGGGAAAGACCCTGCTTGATTATCAAGAAACAAAATTACCCACCTACTGGAGCACACCATTCACTAAGATCTGCCTCGCTATGAAGATCGGCCATCAAGTTAATTCGATCGTCATCAACAAACAAGCCAATTCCTTATACTCCCTTATCGCTGACGGAAAATACCGTTCGACGTCACTGGGCCGTCACACCTGGAAGAAACTGATTGGCCAACAGGCATCGCTGCAGAGAAATTGTAACAAAGAAGGGTTCAATTCTTACCCGGCGCGACACTACAGCAGAGCAAGAATAGGTATCATAAGTAACGAAAACAACAATTGTGGTAGCCCTGACTCAAGAATTGGGTTTGGTACTGGTGGTAATCCTTATGCTGACAACACCTGTGGAAACACGGCCTGGTACTGGTATGAACCAGACAATGGTGGCAAAAACATTAAAGCGATGGGCTATATTCTGGTGCAATGAGTATACAAATGCAACGTCAAAAATATTGTTCGACTTTATAGTCAATGATCAGTGTCCTTTACAATGCTAAATAGAAACTGTAGGTTAAGTGAAGGCTTAATTCTTGCGTGAACAAATATTTGTGGAAATTAAATTGAATAAAAGCATTGCTCAAAACAAAACCTTTTGTTCTGTTTTCCTCTGTCTCAATCATCCATTTATATTTTTACCAAGATACGCCTCTCTCCAGGGAACAGTCCTGGAATTTTTCATCAATAGCCCTTTGATGCATCCCCACAATCCCCTTCCCCGGCTACCAGCGCCAAAAATTACACGCGCACACACACTCCATGACACAAACCCGACACTTTCTGGCACAACACAGATGGAAAAACGCACTTAATCAAAACAGTGCCACCCGAATTCTCCTTGGCATCTTTTAAATAAAAAAGCAAATAAGCGCCGCGGCGCCCTTTCGAAAAATTCAATGTTTTACTGCGTTTAATAGAAAGTGCCCCGACCTCAAGTAAGAGTCGCACAGGGGAAGAGGAAAAATAAATAAACGCCTCGGCACTCTTTCAAATAAACATATTTTTCTCCTGCATTCAACCCATTCAAGCGAGAGTGCCGCATTTCCCAGCAACGTAGCAGCGCTTATTAATTTTTGCTAATCAGACCTTTTAATATGTTGATTACCATTGCTGATGTAAGCTTGAAGCATATTGATTTAAGTTTAAAACCCGTCTTTAGAAGAAATGAAAGTTCAAAACAAAACAAGGTTTGAACTTTCGTTTCTTCTTAGCAGCATGGTATTTAAATAAGTGTGATGAAAGTGATAATAATTTAAGTATCTCCATAAACAATTTTAAATTTATCGTAGAGTACGTACGTGATACTCCCATTAATTGAGTCTGCAAGGCTGCGTATGAACTTCAGTCAGTAAGTTTCGCACAAACAAAATTGTAAAAAAGTCGGAAATTTCGAAAGAGCGCCGCGGTGCTTATTGATTTTCCTACTTGAAGATGCCAAGGTGATTTGAGGGCGGGCTTTTTCGTTAAATGTAATGCAAAGACAACATAAGCTTTGTTTGCTTATTTTTACATAAGCTCGGATTCCTTTGTTCTTTTCGGAGGGAATATATTACATAACCCCCGAATCAACTGTCTGAAAAGCTGGGTGCGGCTTTGATTGCTTGAAGGAAAGAGCGGGGCTTATGAACAGCTCATTAAAATGAGAGGATTCGAGGGGATTATGTATTAATATGAAACGGAGATAAGTGACTTATCCCCCTTGCATATTAAAATACATAATCCCCTCGCATTAAAAGTAGCTTTTCGTAAAGAAAAAATTCACAAATGTTTATCGCAAATATTAAACACGACGCTATAATTACTAAAATTAAACTGATCTGCGTTTCTTTTGCGCCACATTCACGGATTTTCGTAGTTGTTGGTTCATCGATTTCCAAAGCCAGAACGACAATCCCAAATTGAACAGCGTCTTTAAAATTCTACAGGTCCACGAAAGAGTCGCTGTCATGGTAAGGTGCCCCTGAGGTGATAAAAGATTTCATTGCATGCACCAGCTTACATGCACCCTATGAAACAACTGTATAAACGCCATAAAATTGCGGCTAAACTCGGCGCTTGAATTAATTTTAGCAGGAATCACCCAAAGCGCAAAAAAATTCGCCGTTATTAATAGTCTTCCCTTAGCCTAGCTGCAAACGCTCCTTTTTCTCGATATGAAATACCGGCGTAAAATATAAGTAGGTTTTTCTCCGCTGGAATAAAAAAATTTAATTGGTCTGTTCTGATCCCACGACTTATGGGGTTTATCGACCTTCGAAATTATACGGGCCAGTATTCTTTCATTGTTCTTTCTTTCTTCTTGTATTAGATTTGGTCTAATAAGGACTCAACTGATGATCAAATTATATATACTGAATCCATGCAGCCCTTATCTTGCGGGTTTTGTGAATCGAAAGGTTTTTCATGGTGACAGGTAAGGTAGACATTCTAAAGGTTAGATCAGTTTAAGCACTACACGTCTTAACTGACAACCTATACCATCAGCCCTCCAGTCCAGTGACCAGATTGAATTGATCGAAACTGATGAACAAGGAATCGGCACGCTGGTCTTGGAAAGCTAGAAAAGAGCGGCAGGAAAAAAATTCAAACTGTTTAGCGAAAAATGGAAAACACATTACATTCAGTTTTTTAGCGATAATTTCAATTCGCTCTTCTTTGGTAGACTAAATCTGTTGATCGCAGCATTCTTTTAACAGCCAGATCTCCGATTCCCCACGCACTTGAATTAAGCAGCCCCCGCACTTGAACAACTGCTGCGCGGGCCCTGAGCTAATGGTCCAAATAGGCCCCTTGCATTAAGAGGTCACGTGATCAATGCTTCCTTTAATCAGTGAGTTGGAATCTTGATCTGATGCCAAAAACTGACAGAGCACATAAAATCATCTTACACCCTAAATTTGAGAGGAAAGGCATTTAAGGGAGATATTTTATGGCACTTTGATTTTTCAACAAAGTGGATGGCCGCCATTGGAGGGCATACTCTTAAGAAGAAGTAGGTCCTTATGGACGAATGATTTATGAGCGCTTTGATGTTCAACAAGAGAGATTTATGTTTTCGAACTTTGATATCTCCAGACGTATTTGGTCATTTCATTACTATAAGGGGTCTGCAATTTATGTTACCATGGACAAAGCCTTAGATAACTAAGCTAAAAGAAAAGTTATAATTATGAAATCATGAGCAGAGTGGTCGACCGTTTAGCAAACTTAATAATTTATTGTACCAGTGGACTTCAGTGCTATCCTTGGCTTTGGATAAGACGAGATATCTTTGATTCATCTCGCCTTTCAGTGGTTTGCGGATGCGATATAAGAAGTAACGTATCAAGCGTGAAACGCAGTGTTTCATCACCAGATGAAACACTGAGAAAAGAGTTGAAAANGAATCGAAAGGTTTTTCATGGTGACAGGTAAGGTAGACATTCTAAAGGTTAGATCAGTTTAAGCACTACACGTCTTAACTGACAACCTATACCATCAGCCCTCCAGTCCAGTGACCAGATTGAATTGATCGAAACTGATGAACAAGGAATCGGCACGCTGGTCTTGGAAAGCTAGAAAAGAGCGGCAGGAAAAAAATTCAAACTGTTTAGCGAAAAATGGAAAACACATTACATTCAGTTTTTTAGCGATAATTTCAATTCGCTCTTCTTTGGTAGACTAAATCTGTTGATCGCAGCATTCTTTTAACAGCCAGATCTCCGATTCCCCACGCACTTGAATTAAGCAGCCCCCGCACTTGAACAACTGCTGCGCGGGCCCTGAGCTAATGGTCCAAATAGGCCCCTTGCATTAAGAGGTCACGTGATCAATGCTTCCTTTAATCAGTGAGTTGGAATCTTGATCTGATGCCAAAAACTGACAGAGCACATAAAATCATCTTACACCCTAAATTTGAGAGGAAAGGCATTTAAGGGAGATATTTTATGGCACTTTGATTTTTCAACAAAGTGGATGGCCGCCATTGGAGGGCATACTCTTAAGAAGAAGTAGGTCCTTATGGACGAATGATTTATGAGCGCTTTGATGTTCAACAAGAGAGATTTATGTTTTCGAACTTTGATATCTCCAGACGTATTTGGTCATTTCATTACTATAAGGGGTCTGCAATTTATGTTACCATGGACAAAGCCTTAGATAACTAAGCTAAAAGAAAAGTTATAATTATGAAATCATGAGCAGAGTGGTCGACCGTTTAGCAAACTTAATAATTTATTGTACCAGTGGACTTCAGTGCTATCCTTGGCTTTGGATAAGACGAGATATCTTTGATTCATCTCGCCTTTCAGTGGTTTGCGGATGCGATATAAGAAGTAACGTATCAAGCGTGAAACGCAGTGTTTCATCACCAGATGAAACACTGAGAAAAGAGTTGAAAAATACGACAACGCGCAGCGGAGTAGTTTTGACGAACTTCGAGGTGCCTCATCTGGTGATGAAACACTGTGGTGATGAAACACTGTGTCGAATGCTTGATATTACTTCTTAAATAAAACAATTTTAGAAGGAGAAATTAAGGATGCAAAAATGAGCAGTTTTTCATCTGATTTCAACACATCCATTAAACTTTAATTTTCTTTATGAATTATTAATGAGTTTGAGAACAGACAGAAAAGGGTGGAAGAGCAAGAATTGAAAGGAACATATTGCGGTCCCTTACAGGCAGCTATGTCTAGCGACAGCTTTCCCTTGAATGTTAACTTTGACGCCGTCAGTGATCTGAGATTTTTGCTCGGCAACACCCGGAACGCCTGTTCCCCGCTGACTTTCTGTCGTCGGATCGAGAAATAAGAATCCCAAGAAAAAACTTCAAAAAATTGTTCTGGTACGGATGAAATATGCGCATACCCTCCATCTTCCATCCTACCATCATATTTGGATGATACGTTAATGGTGCTCATGACAAACACAAGAAACAGACTCGGCCGTAAGAAATTTCGAATCAAACCTTACAAGTTCTCCATGGGCGAAGAAGAAGATGATTGATTTTTTTTATTGGAGTTATGAGGTAATGAAAGTTGAAATATTGCTTGGAAATATCACATTGACGCCATTACGGCAAAAATCAGTAAAACCGTTGGACTAATTTCAAAACTTCGGCACTCCATACCCCGTCATATACTGTTATATATTTACCAAACATTAATCCACCCTCACCTAAACTATGGTCTTGCTGCCTGGGGTCAGGCATCCAAGACGTCCCTCAATAAAATTTTAATTCTCCAGAAGAAAGTGCTTCGCATGATGTATTTTACGGATATACGTGAACACGCAATTCCTCTATTTATCGACGCTGGCATATTACCAGTGTCATTTATGTATTATAAAACTGTGGCTAATCTAATGTACGATATTAACAACAACAATTCGCTAACAAATCTGCTCAATTTATTTGAAAAAACCTCAACAATTCATTCATACTATACAAGA